CGTCAACTTCAAACACTGAGATGGAGAATTGTTTATTTCCATATTGTTCTTTGTATATCCTGCAAAATTTTGATATTCTCAAAACATACGTTCTCTTCTTTCATCTGAGATTTTTCAGAGCAGCCATATTTTCTATGTTATTCTCGTGTGAATGCAAAAAATTCAATGGCAGACGGGACTTGTCGCTTTGTTTTAGTGCAATTTTTGGATTTCATTGGCCTTTCTCTTCTTCCATTCCATATTTCCACATATCATGTTGAATTGCCGAACTGAATAGTCCATTATTTGTAAAATAATCGTGATTGCCCTCCGTCTCTAGTCTTAACACAGTAAAGATGAATCATCGGAAAACAGCAGATGAGAGATGTAAGACGTTAACCTTCAGGAAAGAATCAGGAGCTTGGGAGAACACAAAGAACAATAAGGAAGCACCCACCTTTCTGTAAGTGGTAAACCAAACAAAAAAAAAGAGTGAGAATTCCGCTTTGACGAATGTTGAATTGAATTTGAGGGAGTGTGTATATTTGCTTTAAATGCTCATTGTTACATCACAGAAAATAAAGGATTCACTAAAATCTAAATGATATTTTTTTGGCGGAGAACTAAGAAACAAGAAGGGAAGATGCAATACTACTCAACTGTTCACTTACAATGTGATGGTTGCAGAGCGAATGGGGGCATCACCAGGAACTCTTTGGATTGGGAATTGCACAATTTCATAATAAAGCTTAATGGTCTAATGTGGGTAGAGATTAAACTTCTTAGTTCCTTTTTCTTTCTCCATGCTGTAATTTCTCCCCTTCCTTCAAACATACAGTCTCTTACTCTGTCTCCAATGGTTTGAAACTTTTTTCTAAGGCTTTAAAAGCCTTAATAAGCCTCAGTTTCCAGATAACTCCACTAATTTATTTAAAAAAATTAAAGCTGGCTATTGCAAAACCAGCACTAATTCCTACTACATAACCCATCCTTTCAAATTTTGAACTCGAAAGGTAATTGCTGCTCAAGCAAAGCTCTCTCTCCCGGCTAACAAAAATGATCCCCCGTATGCGGGAACGACTCTGAGGCAGCGTTGGAAAGAGGTGGTGTACGAATAGAATGGCAATTATCCGGTCCTCCGTATCTCACCGTAGCCTCAAAAATGGGCGGCGATTTCCGGTTCATCCCGACCCGACCACGAAAGGTTCGCTCATCGCCGCCTTTCGCTTCAATCGGATCTCGCCTATTGTGAGGGAAAATCCGAGATTATACTAATGGGCTTATTGGATTATGATCACTTAATAGTAAAGCAAATGATGGTAGCCTTCTGCTACGGCTCTTAAGAAGCACTTCCAGCTTCTTTTCCACAATTCTTTGCAATAGAATTCTGCTGGTGAATTTTCACTTTCAATGACCTTTCAGATTTAGCCTCCCATTTTCCTCTGGTTTCTCAGTTTACAAGTTTCTTACTCTTATTGCTTGGTTTTTAGTTGTATACATTTATGAAATTTCCTTATATTCTCTTATTTTACTTTCTCAATAAATTCTTTGATAAAACCTCAAATCTGGGCTCTGCCATCTATTATCTATCACAAATCTCCAAATAGGCTCGCTGCTGTGTTGTTTTTCTCCTACTATTGTTTACAGCCAGATATCTGTCTGTTTTTGTATGTCTCCTCGATGCTCACCAAATTAACTTTCGAAAATCACCCAACTGCGAACTTTATTTATTTAATAGTATACCGTGCACCATGATCTCAATTCTTATATCGTGAACAAAAAATGCAAACTTCTTTTTCCTTGAGACGCTCATTTGTACTTTGGAACTTCCCAAGTTTGCTATGGTTTGCTCCTTGAATTTAATCCTATCCGTAGAAAGTCAGTTCCTCGAGCATACTTAATCCCTACTTTCCATTTTTATGAATGTGCTTCTATCGCCATTTATCTTCATCAAAAACTCCAATCAATCAAATCGAAATTCAGAGTTTGTGATCGCAAAATTTGCTGCAAAAACAAAAATATTAGGTTGATGAAGCGCCAATGAACATATAGATGCTACCGTAGT